GACCCACAGACAAGGGGGAGGGTGTTCTCTGAGAGGTGAATCACAGGTCCAGCTCATGCACCTGGGCTTCTCCTGTAATAGGCAGAGGACTGGTCCTCCAAGGACGTCCATTCCCCAATCTCTCAAACTTGTGAATATACAGTGTTACTCTGTACAGCAAAAAGGACTTTGCAAATGTGATTAAGTATCTTGAGATGAAAAGATTATTCTGGATTATCTGGATTACTGGGGGAGTCCAATGTCATCACAAGGGTCCTTCTATGTGAAAGGAGGAGGCAGGAGAGCCAGGGTCAGAGAGGAATTTGAAGATGCTACCCTGCTGCTGGCAGGGAAGGGACCATGAGCTGACAAATGCAGGCAGCCTTTGGAAGCTGGAAAGTAAGGAAACAGATTCTGCCCTAGAGCCTCCAGAAGGAATGCAACCCTGCCTACACCTTGATGTTAGCCCACTGAAACCCATCCTGACCTGCCAAGCTTTGTTATATGATTTGTTTTAGCACTAATGGGAACCCATACATATCCTTGCATCTCCCAACCCCACTGCTCTCTAGTTTGTGGTTTTAAAGAATACGCTTGAAAACTGTCACCCCCATCCCCTGATTTTTACTGAATGAGATATAAGAATAAATAATTTGAAAAATTACAGGAAAGACACTGAGTCCCTTTCATTCAATAATGAAACCTGTAGAAGATCGATCAAGTTGAACTCGGTTGGATACGAAAAGTAAGCAGCTGAATTCTCTCTCATTGCCATCTTTTAAAGCTCACTCTGTTTAATTATTCTTCCACTTTCCTGAATGAAATGCCAGGCATATTCCAAAGCTTTTCTGGTCACTTTCAGGTTTTACTAAACACCTAATTTTTTGGTCTGGAAAGTTCAGTCCAGTCTCCCATCAAAGCTTCAATGTAAATCCAATATAAAGCTTTTTTTCTGCCCTAATTTGGGCCTGATAAGGCCCCAAAGCCTATAGAAATGGAGAGCGGGTGCTGGGGAGCAAGGTGGTCAGCTTCCTGACTAGTTTCCCTCCTTATTCTTCCACTGCTCTGCCCCTCACTCTGCTGCCTCTGGCTGCTTCGAGGGTGGGAGAGGGTAAATGGGAGGGAGGAGAGGTAAGGGGCAGCTAAGACTTCATTGACTCAGTGTGTGACTCTTCACTCCAGGAGCCTTTCAGAGACATCCAACCACAGAGTTCTCTGGCAAGGCAAGCTAATCACTGGCGGTCCCCTAACAACTCTCCCCTCGGTTCCTACATCAGTAGTCCCCCTGCAAGAACCAGCTTTCTGTTGGTGCCATCTCACTCCTGCAGCTAGTCTTCTTGGGTAGGGTCTCCTTTGAGATGACTGCCCCAAAGCTATGCTCCTCTCTCTGCTCTGCTCAGCTCTAGGGGTGCTCACCACATGCAATCAGCCCCTCTCTTCACTCCTCCATCCCAGGTAGCTCCAGCCATCATTCACCTTCGATTTTTTTTTCAGGTGAGCTTCAGTGTGATGAACTGTCCTAAGCTGTTTTGGCCAGCCACGACCATTGGATTTTTTGTGGTACATAATAGCAGCCGCTACTATGTAGAGGGAAGATGAGGGTTGGTTATTCCTCCATAATTCTGCTATTGGGTTATCATGAAAGATCCTTTCCTTTGCATGAAAGGTTAATTGAGGGTGAATATGATGATATTATAGAGGCAAGATTCAAATAAACTGGAGGGTTAGCATCAGACAGCCAGATTCCTTTGAACCAGTTGCTGGTTATAGAACCACTTAAGGACCGAGCCTTAGGTGGCTTTAAGGGCTTATGCTACAGTCTCCCCTAAATCTCTGCCCAATTCATGCAAGTATGAGGAGAGTCTTTCAAATATTTTGAACTGCTAATTTCACAACATGAAACCCATTTTAAGTATTCATTATGCTAATTAGCAAAACTTCTGGTGTTGCTCAAAGGTAAAGATAACTTTATATATCCTCATGGTAGCTGCCTCTGGAGTGTGGGTAAGAGTATACAGCTTAGCAAACACACACAGTATCACCCTGCCTATGTCAAAGATATCAGATTACATCACAGGCATCATAAAACTCAGCCTCCAGTCTTTGTTTTCCTAAACTCTTGGGACACAGGGAGTTTAGGACAGAGAGTTCTTAGTCCTCCTAAAAACCCTCTGCCTACATTCTTTTTTTTTTTTTTTCCAACTTTTATTTTAGAATCAGGGGTACATGTGCAGACTTTTTTTTCTTTTTTTTGAGACAGAGTCTCACTCTGTCACCCAACTTGGAGTGCAGTGGCGCGATCTCGGCTCACTGCAACCTCTGCTTCCCGGGTTCAAGTGATTCTCCTGCCTCAGCTTCCTGAGTAGCTGGGATTACAGGCATGTGCCACCACGCTCGGCTAATTTTTGTATTTTTAGTAGAGACGGGGTTTCACCACATTGCTCAGGCTGGTCTTGAACTCCTGAGCTGGTGATCCGCCTGCCTCGGCCTCCCAAAGTGCTGGGATTACAGGTGTGAGCCACCGCACCCGGCCTTGTTACAAAGGTATATTGTGTGATACATTCCTGAGGTTTGAAGTAGGAATGAATCTGTCACCCAGGCAATGAACATAGTACCCGATAGGTTGTTTTTCAGCCCTTACTCTCCTCACATTCTGTCTCAGTCCTGTGATGGCTTAAGGCTGAACTGTTTCTAGGGCTCTGAAAAATCCAGCCAGGAAGCAAGCTGTCAGTCTCTCCTTCTGGGAGACATCCTACCTTCTCTGAGTGGCTCTCTTCACTTGAAGTGGATGATTCATGTTCTCAGCATACTGACAACTCTCTTGAAATAAGTTCCCCTCTCTAGTCCTCCTCATTCACCTCCTCCCCTCTGCTGCACACACCTGAGGTAGGTGATGGGCTTAGGGTCACTGCTTAGCAAGGTCAGTGTGGATGATCTAGCACCCCTGCATAAAATGTGTAGTGGGCACATAACACCCCTTGTTTTTGGTTTTGAGGAATCAACTGAAACTCTGCAGCAATAGGAAAAGCCTCCCTTAACAGCCTGCTATAGAGCAATGATATTTGTTGTGTTTCTTTTTTTGCTTCGATCACCAAGGCTGAGTGTAACACTTGCCTGCATAGCTTCTCTTAGCCTAGATTTCAGAACCTACCTTCCCTCCTTGCTGACTCACTCACATCATCTCTCCTCTGCTTCCTCTCCCACTTTCATGCTCTACTGTTGTTCTTTTGCCCTTGTTTTCATAATTCTGCTGCTTGTTCAGTTGCTGAAAGCTGATGCAAAGTTATTTATAAGTACATTATAAAAAGAATTCGTAAAGTTTTAGTTTAGATTTCCTAGAAGGTAGTTACATGTGGCCCAATGAGGAAAACATTAGTGTTTTTTCTGTAAGAAGTTAAAATGCAAAGGCACAGAGATGGCATTTGTTCCACTAGAAGCTACAATAGTGTTTCTCTTTAATCAGATGAAAGATAGATTGTGTGAGCTTAGGGAAGCATCTTCTGATCAAAAGTTCCACATAATTTGGATAAACATGGAAGGCAAATGTTTAATGCAAAATTTCTTTATTTTCAAAAGAGAATAATGATGGATAAGGAAGCAGGAACAAGACTCAGGTGCTGAAGCACGTGACGCTATGGAGAGTTTCTCTGTAAGAAAGAGGGGAAAAGAGATACCCCTGCCTCTGAGAGTGCCAGAGCCTCACATCAGGGATCAGAGCAGTTACCCAAAGTCACCTAGAAGATGCAGAGTGTCTCTATAGCCTGGAAAAATCAATTAAAACCTCCTTAAGTATATTAATACCAGAGAAAGATTGTGTTGATTATGGGAAAATAGGCAGAATGGTGGGAGCAGAGAAAAAGGAGCATAACCAAGGCAAAGGACAGCTGATACCTTTTAACATTTAATAAAGAAACTTCTGATGAACACCCAGCTTTCCTTCGGGCTAGGAGAGGATGGACTGAAAAAGTCATGACATATTATGGCCCTAGGGGAGACCAGTATACTAGAGCTACACTGCCCTATGTAAATGAACAGATAAGCCCTGTAGGTTGGCATCAGTCTTTGGGCCTTGTGTTTAGGATGAGGTAGTCTTGTAGGTCACTGCCTTCCCTTAGAGCAATGATTTGCAGACTTTCATGGACATCAAATGATGCAGAGGGCTTATTTTGCTGGGCTGCATTCCCAAAGTATCTGATTCACTAGGTCTGGGGTGGGGCCTGGGGATTTGTGTTTCCAGCAAACAAGCTCCTAGGTGATACTAAGACTGCTGGTCCAGGGATACACTTTGGGAACCACTAAGGGCATTAAATAGCATTTAAAATGTTCCTTCTCCTACATGCCTAGGAGACCAACTGAATCAGAATCTCTAGGAGTAGGACATAAGCATCAATATTTTAAAAAACTGTTCAGGTCATTCCAAAGATGACCCCACTACTGGGTCTACCGTCCCACATGAATGATTTCCAAGTGATAGGCAACATAAAAACACCATTATTTGGGCAAGAAAACAGCATTTTTTTTTACCCTGCAAACCCAGTGGGATATAAATGGATAATGATAGCCAACAGTTGTTGAATACTTATATTGTGCCAGGATTAACTAATTTGCTCCAAACAACTATCCCTATCTTAAAGGTGATGAAACAGGCACCCCATGAAATTAAGTAACTTGTTCAAGGTCATGTACAAGTAACAGAGCTGGAATTTGAACCCAGGCCCTGCAGCCTCAGAGTTCCTGCTCGTGGCCTGAACTATAGGGTGCTCTGTGTAACCAGTCTGAAGGAGCATATTAACAGCCTCACTCTCTCAGAGCAGTTTCTGTAGTGAATATGGAATGGGCCCCATCATCCATCCAACTGGGCTAGAATCCAGGATTCACCATGTAATAAGTTGCTATGGTTTAAACATTTTTGTCCCCTCCAAAACTCATGTTGAAACTTAATTCCCAAGGCAACAGTGTTGGGAGGTGGGGCCTAACGGGAGGTGTTCATGTCATGAGAGCTCTTCCCTCATGCTTCTGCTATGTGAAGAATAGTGTTTCTCCCCTACAGAGGATGCAGTGTTCAGGGCATCATCTGTGAATGGAGATAGCCTTTATCAGACGCCAAACCTACCAGCACCATGATGTTGAACTTTCCAGCCTCCTGAACTGCGAGAAATAAATTTCTGTTGTTTATAAAGTACCTAGTCTTTGGAATTCAGTTATAGCAGGACAAAATGGACTAAGACAACAGTGATGCAATTTGAGCAAGCTCTTTAGCCCTTCTGAGCCTGTTTTCTCATGGGAAAAATGCATATAAATGTGTCTAAATCAGAGACCTGCTGATAAGGCTAAAAGAAATTTGCCAAGGAGTAGGTACAGTGCCTAGCCCAGAGCCGGGATTCAAGAGGCATTCACTCCCTTCCTCTTTTCCATCAGCCTTTCCTCTAAGGGTCCTCAGAACCCCAAAGAGTTTTTCCCAGTTGCTTATAGGGCATCTTTGTAAATACAGCTCTCTTGAGAACTGGCAGACACCTTTGACTGAAGAAATAAGTTCTGGGGAAATAACATTTTCCTGCTGGAAGGAAGGAAGCACAGATGTTAGGCTTCATTGAAAAATGAGTTCAGCTCATGACAGTTGAAAGTAAGGAAATCGGTGCTGCTACTTGAAGGAAAATAAGAACTGATTCCTGAGCTGTGGTGTTTCAGCATATCTCAGAGCAGCTGCATTGCACCAGGGGTCTGGGCATCAGGTGGGGCTTCTGCAGCTGCAAGGTGTGCTGTGAGTCAGTTGTTACTAATGAAAAAAAAGTACTGAAGCTTGTGAGTGACTCACAAAATAGTAATACATTAGATGAGATATGCATTGCTGTTTGAGAATACTCTTGAGAGGGGCAGAGCCTCATTTGCTGGGATTGTACACAATGCTGGGTAGGACTTTGGTAAGGTAACTTGCAAGTGAATGTCACCTGAACCAAATACCAAAACCGAGAATGATTGTATATGCCGTTTAAAAGCAGATTGAAAGAACATTTTGAGGAAGTCTACAATAACTAATTTTTATATCCTCCCACTTCTGGGATTTTTTAAAGGGAATCATAAAAGAACATATATGTACCTTAAATACATATGGGATGAATGGGATGAATAACTTACAGAAAGAAATATCTGATGGTGGTTGGGGGAAAGGGAGATGTAGGATAAGAACTGTGTCAGAAAATGTAGGCTAAGGAGGATCCTCAAAATTAAGTTCTGAGATTCCTAGGCAAAAAGAATGGTCCCATGCCTTCCACAGCTTTTGTTAACTGACAAAAGAAAACATAGGCAAACTTCATTCTAGTACTAAAGTCCAAGTGGAAATTAGTTGAAAGGTATTTTTACGTTAAGCAACATAGTGAATGTCTATGGCAATTTTACAGATAGTTTAAAGCTGTTCTTCACCCGATCATTTATTAAAATGACACTGGGTAAAGCTAAGGGGCACAATGCTGAATGATGTAAGGAAACACTGTATTGAGTACCTGAGTGACTTAATCCAGGAAGGGACTTCTGTGATTCCAGGGAGGAAAAAGTTTAGAGAACAGCAAAGTACCCCACATGCTATCCTTGCTGTTTTGGCAACATCTATATCCCTTTTAAAACGCAAAGATAAACTTTAAGAGCACCATTTAATAGTGCTTTAATAAAACTATGCTTAACCTGAACAAGTTGTTGTGTATGCAAGATACTGGAAATGCCTTCTGTGGAAGGAAAGGACAAATACAACTTTGTGCTTCTATTTGGATAAAAGGTTTTGAAGGGAAAGGCATTTGTGCAAATTACAAGCAGATTTTCAAGTCCAGAAAAACAAAAATCTCAAGTGTGGATTAAGTTCTATTTTTTTAACAAAAATGAAATAGTTGGCTTTAATTTCAGAAGTTAAAAAATCCTTTTTAACAACAGCAAAAAGGGGACCTGTTTTGAATTTAAAAGAAGTAAAGTGAGACAAGTTAGGAAAAAAAGAATTACCATCGCCTTTCTAAATTTATTATTATCATAATTGTCATTAAGTGTATTCCTCCTTCTTAAGGGTAAAGAGAGCTTTCCGATGGCCAAAATTTACTAGTCACTGAATTGTGTCCCAGGACACCCTTCAATAAAACTTGGCCTAAAGAAGCTTCAAGTTCCCTTCAAGTTCGAGGGCAGAGTCTGGGGTTCAGCTCAAGCCACTGGCATCCCTGAGGGGGCTGCAGGGCTCCTGACTCCAGGACCTCCTGGCATCCCGAATGCATGACCTCTCATGCCTGCCGCAGCACCTGCAATCTTCCCGGTGCCGCTTGGATTGCTGAGCAAACACTTGTTATTTGCGAAAGTACAAGGTTCAGTCTGTCAAACAGGGAAAACCAAACACCGAAGCACAAGAGACGATGAGGGGACCATGGTTGTGAGACCCACGCGGGCGCAGAGCGCGGCGGCGGGGCCCGGGCCTACCCGGCGCATGGGGGCTCAGGTCCAGTTAGGCAGGCCACGCGACGCGGGCGGACGGCCTGGCCCGCGGAAACAGGCGCGTAGTGCGGTTCCCACCTTGCAGATTCTTGCAAGTTGGGGGTCCTACCTTGCTTCCCAAGGGCTGATAACCCTGAACGTTCCCAGCGGGTAGAGGACTTGCCACCTGCTGCAGAGCTGCGCTGCAGGCCTCCCCCGCCTCCTGCCTTAGGTCCAAGCTCAGAGAGCAGACGGTCTTGGGCCTTGGCGCGCTGTCGCCGGCAGGACACAGAGCGAGTCACTCCACCTGACACTCATTTTTCTCTTCTGCAAAATGGGACTGACACCAACAATCACCTTCCTACCACCTCAGGGGGTTTTGAGGATCCCGTGAAATAACGATGTGAAGATACTTTTAAAGTGGAAATCTTGGTTGTTACTAACTCATTTGTGAACCCCATTTTCTTCTCGATTCCTTCCTGAAGTAGAATTGATCATCGTCATTGAGTTGTCTTAGCTACCCCTCCCTCGATTCTAATTTTAAAATCTGTGCATCCCATTCCAAAAACAAACAAAAAAATCACTTGACCTATGGTTTTATGTGTGAACAAAAGTTCTCTGAAAAGGAATTTAGAGGAAACAGACTTTATTCCAATGAAGAGTTTATAGACGAGGGAACATAGTCCCAAGTGTAAAATGAAGAGAACAAAGAGACAGTTTGGCGTTTACAGAGAAAAGTCCTACCTGGGTTCCCAATCAGGTCCATTTATGCAAATGAACAATTCACACTGGCTTGGTTCTGATTGGTCAATGCAGCTGAGTCCTGATTAGTTGATGGTGAGCACAGCCTATTCGTTGCTTCAGGCCACATGAGGGGGAACAGTCAGTTATGAAAGCCCCAGTGTTAAGCCGACTGTGGGTTTTCCAGCAACTCAGAGTAGTGTGTAATCTCTAGTCAGTAAATGGCCGTTTGGTTCTATATTAAATTTATGTCCAATTAGCCACTCAGGATTCATCTTGAGGGACTGGCTCTTTCAGATTCACATGTTTCAACTCTGCTATTTATAAGTCCTTTATCTGTGTATCCAGGGCCAGATATAAAATTTCTCTGGACAGGTCCTGCTCCATAACCACCTTCACAAAACATATAGAATTGGGTTGATAGTGGAAACAGTTTCAGGTACTTTAACCCAATTTTAAATATTCTAAATTTTAGGTATTTTAACCTTGGAATAATATACTTTTTTCTTCCTTTTTCTGTGTATAAAAAGACATACGTAGTTGATATGACACTATGTAATGTAACTCGTAGATTCACCACATAATTTTGTACCCTGCATTAATTCAGCATTTTAACATGTATTAATATTTTTCCATATCATTTAACTCTCTATGTAAAAACCATTTGCAATAAGCATTTTTCCATTTAGTAGGCTACCTCATATTTTATTAAATTGTTTTCCTACTGTTACACATATGAGTTTTCTCCAGTTTTCCACTATAGTAAATAATACTGCAGTGAACATCTTTCCTCCGAAAGCTTTTTTTTTCCCTTGCTTTTGGTTTACCTCCTTAAAAGAATTCTGGGTCAAAGGTTATGAACATTTTTCAAAAGACCTTTGTTGTCATGATGGCAGAGAGGCAGCACTAAAATAGTTGGGAGCAATAGGGATTTCACCCAAGTAGCTATGATTGATATCTGGAAAGAAAGAAATAGAAAATAATGGCATGGGAATCTTTCTAGAGCTTTAGGGCCTTGTTCTGATATATATATATATATATATCAGATATATATATCAGAGAGAGATATATATGGAATATAAATCTTCAGGTCCCCAAATCACTGAGGGGATAATCAAGCTGGGAACTACTTAGGGCAAACCTGCTTCTCATTCTATTCAAAGTCACCCCTCTGCTCACTGAGATAAATGCATATCTGATTGCCTCCTTTGGAAAGGCTAATCAGAAACTCACAAGAATGAACCGTTTGTCTCTCAAGTACCTGTGACCTGGAAGCTCCCTCCCAGCTTCAGGTTGCTTCGCCTTTCCAGACAGAACCAATGTACAGCTTACATATATTGATTGATGTCTCATGTCTTCCTAAAATGTTTAAAACCAAGCTGTGCTCTGATCAATTTGGACACATGTCATCAGGACCTCCTGAGGCTGTGTCATGGGCATGTGTCCTCAACCTTGGCAAAATAAACTTTCTAAATTAACTGAGATCTGCCTCAGATATTTGAGGTTCACATATATATGAATATATGAAATAATTGTATGTTTTAGAGTCCCATTCCTGGAAGTTTAAACAGCTGTACTCATAGCCCACACTTAAGTAGAAAGTTTGGAGAATATCTGACAGTTTGGGTGACAACTGCTTACTCTAGGTGCAAATTGGGGCTTCTCAGGCAGCTATTGGCCCCAGGGTAATCAGCATTCTGGTGACTTCAGAAGTAGAAAGTAGAAATCTCCATCTACTTTACAGCTGAAGTCCCTGAGTCTTGGCACACCTAGTTCAGTGGTTGTTAACTCTGATTGCACAGTATAGTCACTTAAGGTGATGAAAAGACATCCAGGAAAAAATATCCGGGATAGATCCTCAGATATTCTGATGTAATTGGTCTGAGGTGAGACCCAGGTGTCATTATGATATGAAAGCTCCCTGGGTGATACTAATATGAATTAGGATGAGAAGCTCTGGTATAGC